TGTCTCCCTCCTTATCTAAATTATGGACAAAGGCATTCGAACTGTACCTCCTTCGCATCGAACCAAGGTTCTACTCCTCGAAAATTGCAAACGAAGTCACGCAATTCAACATATTTGTCTAGGCCTTGACAGATTTTGTGCCACGTGCAATCAGTACAAAGGAATCCGCCTGTAGATCTACCCTAAACCAAACTGAAGGCCGCAATCCCCCGAGTGTATGCTGCGTCCGACGGTCAGAGGTATTTCCAGCTCATCCGTGAAGAGATTTTGTGTGATAGAAAATCCAGCAAAATTCTCAGGAGAGTGCACATTTTTCGAGTTGATTTCCACATAAACGAGATGCCATTTGAAGATATTTTTCTGGAGTGACAACCAATCGACGTCCAGCCTATTTTGTCATCTGTCTAAGAGAAGCTCTCGGTCTCACTGCATGTCAAGATGGTGGACAGAATGTTGATGAGCCTCTGCAAAGTTTGGGTGGCATTTAGAATGCCGAAGGGCATACAGATAAATTCAAGCAGACCGAAGGTTGAAGTGACTCAGCTCCGAACAGTAGAGCACGTGCACTTGTAGGCCAACCTCAATCGTCTGCGGTCAGTCACATCCCTGTGTCTGATTCACTTATGACGTCGCTGTGATGACTGCCATCCTCACACACTTCGGATGTCACCCCTCTTGGTTGCGGATGTACGCTCGTCCGCCTGTCGATTTCATCTAACATATTTTTCAATAAGTTTCTATACAGTGCATTATTCCTCTCATCTGGCGTCTCACTTCTGTTCTTCTTACACGGAACCAGGCCCTAAGCTTGCAGCGACCAGTGTTTACTTCCGATTGTAGCCGTAAGTGCAGTCTTACGACAACACCATGTTGATTCAGCTCAAACATTGGCCTACTTCTCAAAGAAACCTTTTTTCCGACTAAGACACGCTGCATTATATTCGGCCGTGAGATTCGCGCCACTTATCTGGCTGTAAAGCATTTCTGACATTTCCTCGAAGGTCCACTACATAAATGACAAGCAGAATGAGATGGCCGACATGTTATCTAGAGCTTCCATCTCAGGTGAGCAAACCCGAGTTGGTTATCATAGTGACGAATCCGTCGGCAGTTTCCAGTTCGCAGATATTCCACTCACCATCGGGACTGGCAACATACTCTGTGATTGCCAATAGAGGAGAATATACGAGTTCCAGGCAGCAGTTCCGAAGAAGAAGATGCGATCACTGGAACAAGGACTTTAGTTTCCTGACAATTTGGATTCCGTTGGGAATCCTTAGTCATAAGTAATCGTAAACAGGTCTGAAACATGCGCATGTGTGATATCTGTGTGATAACTCGACTCATTTTCATTGCCACTTCGTGTCCGCCTTGATTCGTTGACCTGTGTCTAAAATACTTCATGGATTCCCATTCCGGGAACCGAGACTCACAAATGCTTCTCACGGAAGGCTTTTTCTGGGCTGGCATAAACAATGACCGCAAGGCTTGTCGCCATGCAACACCTTTCCGAACCCCAACTTTCATTTCAGTCATATGCATCTCTATGTCGTAGGCCATTCGTCTTCGGCCAATGTTTTCACCCACCTTCGTACCTGCGTAGACGGCTACACCCGTCACCCTACTTATCGCAACTGCCCCTCAATCAGCAATGAAGATTCGATTCCAAACGCTTCCCATTGCAATCTTCCCTTCATT